TGGTTGCCACCCGACTTTTCCCATCACAGCATTAAGCTGTTTTTTTTAAGTGAGTCCAGTGTTCTGGCCGCAACCACCACTCTACTGGTAACCTGTTTCAGTTGTTATTTACCTTGGTAAGCACTTCCTGCTGAAATTGCCCTTTGCAGAGCTAAACCGTGTTGCACTCCTGTGCACTGCCTATGGGTTGGGCAGCTCTGTTGTGTTGTGGTGACCAGAATTTTATGCAGTTCAAGCGGTAAGGTCTGACCAGAGCATTGTCCAGCTTGAAAGCAAATCTGAATGTGGTCATGACGACCAATGCTCAATAAATCTTAAAGGTGTGTCAGTGTTTCCATTCTCACCTTTGAGATTTAGGTTTGCCTTTGTGTAACGTAGAGGAAGTGTTCCACCAACAACATGCATTTATATAGTGCCTTTGCGCGGAGTCTCGGAGCGCTTAAATGAATGAAAGAGAAAGCGTTTCATTGAAATGAATGAAAAGAAAGTAATACCTCAGGGAATGTGTCCCTTTTGGTGTTTTTAGAAAGGAATAAAAGATTTCTTTGTAAAGGATTGGTAATATCTTAGGTTGCCTACATGACTCATTTGACTGAGCGTATTTTTAATTCATGGAGCTTTTGGAATGTACCTATATGACACTTTGTAAATTTGAATCCAAGGTCTGAAAATTTATAATTTTATCTTCCTGTGAAATGTGCCTTTAGGTGAATATTTATTTGGCATCAAACGAGTTGCTGTTGAGTTTAATTCTGTAACTTTGAATTCTTAAATAATGATTTTTAATTTAAGATTTCAGCTTTGCAGGAAGGAATCAAGGCAGAGGAGATAAAAGCTGTCTGTTGTGCCTCAGGATAACCGTTATACTAGAAATTCAAAGACCCCTAATGATGATGATAATTTCTCTCTCTGTTTAAAACTCTTTTCCATAGCTTTTTAACTGTACCACTCTGGGAGGTTTTGTTTCTTGGTTGGGTTGCGTGTTGCAGTGACTAGTAACCCGGATGTTAGTTGATTGGTGGATCGCTTTCTGTGAGTAATTATCCTTCCCCCACACCCCCCCTCCCCCCAAGAAAAATGCTCACTCAATCCACAACTCTTTGGGACACTGCTGTGTGCAATTGGCTGTCGCAATTCACCCACAAAATACAGTCAATCCACTTTACAATATATTCTGTGAAGCGTTTGAGACATCTCAATGACGAGATAAGGCGCTGTATCGAATGCAGAGATTATTATTATTACTACTTGCACGTTGATGGAGCAGGAATTGGGTTGGGGAAAGAGATATGATAGAGATGCAAGGTATACAAATAAAGATTGCAGTAGGTACATGAGCTTTCTGAGCACACTAATATTGAGAGTATCAGCAAACCTTTAGTTTTACTTAGCGTTCCCTTTGACTTTCTGCGTCAATCCAAAAAGTATGCACAAAAAAACCCACTGACAGAACTACACACCACCATTCCCTTTCACTGACTCCTTTGCATGGCCCATTTGAGCCTTTGTACATATGTTAGTGTGGACCGCTGCTGGAGCAGGACGTAGGCTATTGGGAATCAGTAACGTGCCTTGGATTATTCCAACACAATTTCTTGCAAATGTTTCTTGGCAACCATCAGGGCTGAGGTTATGAGACCTTCTTCCCGCTGGTTGTTGAATGCACATTAGTCTCAGGAAGTGTGGGGGGGGGGATTTCAGAAAGAACATTGCTCTATTGTAAGTGTATTTAAGAAGTGTTCCCTGATTTGTACAGTAATCTATGTGATCACCAAGAAAGCTTATTGTTTACTGTCTGCCCAGCTGTGTACAGCAGAAGACACACTAGGCTATCTATATTTGGCCTTTTATTTTACTGCCAATGACACTAAATCAAGTATAATTAATCATAATAATCCTTTTCCCCTTCTGATAATATCTATACTCTTTAACAATAAAAGTGAGGCTGAAATATTCCAGATTTTTCAATTTGTTTTAATTGCACTCAGGCTATGAATGAAAAACAGTTGGGCTGGGACCAATGGTGCAGAGTGGGACAAGAAGGGGCCAAAGAGAGGGGAACAGGGGAACAGGACAGGGGCAGTGGGTCGGTGTTGAGAGTGAGGCTTCGGATGTCATTGTGACTGATCTGGATTACGTGTTTCGGTCTTCCGGACTTTCTAATTAAATGAAAATTGCCGAGATAATTGAATTAGCAGGAAGCATTGTACAAAAGCATCTCCTTCCCTACCTCCTGATCTCAGCAAAAGCTCATTTGACAGACTGAAGCTCTAACCTCAGTATGTTGGGCAAAGTTAATTTACCGGCCCTGCAAGGAGTTTTTAAAAAAAATTGTGTGTTGTGATCAGATATTTAATTTTAATAATAATCCTTGCAATTGATATATGTTGTTGAGACGTCTCAAAGCGCTGTATAGAATATACTGTAAAGTGGATTGACTGTGTATTTTGTGCTTGAAATGCAGTAGACAATTGCGGACAGCAGTGTCCCGCAAACAGTCATTGATTGAGTGACCAAAATATTAAATATTTACACATATTTATCTATGTGCTTGGTTAAATCGACTTGAATTTTTTTAGTCGTAGTAGATGTCATTTTCTTTTTTATATAAAAAAATGATAGCTGCGGTTGACATTTTGGTTTGAAAAGGAGACAAAATAATTACCTGAACGCTGCTTCATCAATCGGCTGTGGTGCATTAAGCACGACTATCCCATGGGTGCCACAATTTATATTTTGCTGCAGGCTACTGGGGAATTGGTGATTAAAAGTGCATCTGTAGAAAGAAGCAAAAGAATATTTTTACATAGACATTTAATATTTTGCGGTGGTTCAATATAGTGACTATCTAGTGAGGTTTAACATGTCCATTAGAAATGGAATAGATTTTTGCAGCACAGGAGGAGACTATTTAGCCCATCTTGCTTTGTCCACTCTTAAAGTGCTAATCATGAAAATAATAATCCTTGCATTTTGATATTTGATATAGTGCCTTATCATGTCTTTGAGACGTGTCAAAAGTGTTTCACAGAATATAGCGTAAAGTGAATTGATTGTATATTTTGTGGGAGAAATGCTGCAGCCATATGTGCACAGTAGCGACCCACAAACAGTCGTGGATTATTATGAATAATCTTAATAAACTTTGCGCTTGATGTAGCACCTTTTCACATTGGTGAAATGTCTCGAAGAGCTTCACATTGTGAAGTGACTATGAAGGAACTTGACTGTATTTTTGTAGGCAAATGCAGCTGGGAGTTCGCACCCAGCAATGTCTAACAAACAATCATGAAGTGTTTGTTCTGGAGGATTTTACCAGTTTTACCTGGACGGCTGTTGACCGGGACCCTGAGAAAATACCCTTGTCTTTTCCAATCTTTTCCGACTAACAACCAGGTTCTTATAACTACTAGGTAAAACAGAGGCATGTGGCATAAGGAAACTTGCCTAACGTTTCACCCTGCCCGGGAATCAAACCCAGGTTCTTTCATTTGCGAGGTGTGTGCTCTAACCAACTTCAGCGTTGCTGCTGACGTTGTTCACTGCATACAACGCACAGGAAGTGATGGCAGCAATCTAGAAAGCTGGCATTTCGTGCATTTTTCTTATCGTGCGGCCTCTGAACTATTGGACCCAGAAGACTGTTATATTGATGTTCTCCTCAATAACCCTAATCCTAACTTGGTATTTTCAAAGCAATGGGGGATCGGGGTAAATTGTCCTTTGATGTCCCTGCGCCGCTGGTATCACTAATGAAAAGGAATATTTTGTACAAGAAGGATTTTAGAATCCCAACAGGTGTCCATAAATTTGCAAGTGATTTTCTCCCCCCGTAGCTTCTACTGTTGATATTTTTAACGTGATTAAGATCCTTGGGGAAGCATTGATGCTACACTAGATTTGGCATTGCTTCAGCCGTTTTTCAAACTTTCCCTGTGGTGGTTTTAATCTTTTTATTATGCAAAGGAATCCCAATGCGCTCGCAAGATGGAGAGAAAATATGAATTGAGGATGATCATAAAGCTCTAGTGATGGACAGACACACAGACAGACATTTGGTCTTTATTAGTATAGATGTATCTCTAGAAGGGGGGGTGATTTCCTCGTGGCTACTTTTTGCAGAATACCATGCATAGCTCATATTTTGAAGCTTAATTAAAGCTTTTTTAAATATAGCTCATCAACGATAAGAAATCCCAGAAACAAAATATACCCATGACACTCCCCCATGACACTCCCCCATGACACTCCCCCATGCAGGATCTTTCTGATGAGATATAAATCATGTCTCTATGTCAGTCTGTTATTGCATTATTGGCAGACAGACAGACAGACAGACACAGACATTTCGTCTTCATTAGTTTAGATAAAGGGCAAATTTAGAAGAGGCTGAAAGTTATTATTGCCTGTGAAATTTCCAAAGCACTCTGACAGACCCACATTTGGGGATATGTGAATATTTTCACCTTTAGGCACTTAATTGTATCTTTATTCTGCCCATAAACCTGCCTGAACCACAGCCTTAGAAGAGCACTCTTGAGACGCTTGACATTTTATACCTGAGTGAAATTGCTAAATTGGGTCAGTTCAGTATTGTGGTTCCCTAGTTGGTAGGAGTCTGAGACAGACCCCAGCTCATTTCACATCAGATCTCAGCGGTGGAAGGACAGTGGGGTTAACTCCTTATTGCACTCAGCCTCCTTTGAAGAATGTTGACAATCTGTAACTTATACTCTTTGTACTATTGAAATGCAATCAGTCCCTTAGTTTTGATTTTGTTTTGGTCAGGTTGACACATGCGGAAATCCATCACCGCGTATCCAACCAAGCTGAGATTTCCAGGCATCCCACCTACACATGGAAATCCCAGAGATAGATTGTTGGAATGGATTGCTCACTCTCTCTTTCCCCCTGGAGGGACATTCATTGAGAAGTGTTACAAATGTTTTGATTACCGTGTAAGTGTGAACTCAAATCTACTTTCTTTTGTATGTCCGCAGATTCTGAATTTGGCATACAGCAGCATCTATAACAACTACAAGAACTTTGTGGGTCCCCCTCATTTTAGAGCAATTTGTAAGCTCCTGGGCTACCAAGGGATTGCTGTGGTAATGGAAGAGTTGCTAAAAGTCGTCAAGAGCCTTGTAAGTATATTTTCCATATTCAGTTGCTTGTGCATTCTGGGGGAGCGGTGCATTTAACAGGAAAATTGAGAGAAAGTTTTATACAACTAACTCACTTCAAGGCCATTTTCAGCGAGCTAACAATCCAATAGGTATCGAGGCTGGTTTCAGGCCCAACCACTAGAATTAGTATCTGAAAGGAAAGGTTCCCACTAATGGACGCCCCAGACTGTGCTTTTAGTTATCAACTGGCTACATTTTTCAATTATATGTTAACTAAAGCACCACAGGTTGCAAGTCTAAGCTATTCAATAATTGTTGTATTTTAATAGGAGAAAACATCGAACACGAAGTTTGCACGTCGAGAATCCCTTTCAGGCTGTTAAAATTTAACAACAACAAAATAGATTTGTAAAGTGCCTTTCACGTCGGGAAGGCACCCCAAGGCGCTGGACAGTCAAAGCTTAAATCCAATAATATATATTTTTTAAAAAACACAATTTTGGCAAACTTGCAATCTCTGAGTTTGAATTAAAAGTGTAGTGTGGCATCTATGCAATTTCAGGAACCATGCAATTTTAAAGCTCCACTGACAGCTGTAAATATTGTTAGCAGCAGAACTAGTGGCTGGAAATGACAGAGAAAACAAAGGAAATTAGCCTCTGGAGGGGCAGTCGAGTTATAACTGTTAAATTGTATGTTGTATTTGGAAACTTTGATTTTTAAACTTAATGCTTCCTTCTGTTTCCATCTAATCTCACAGTTACAAGGCACCATTTTGCAGTATGTGAACACTTTAATGGAAGTAATGCCTAAAATTTGCCGTTTGCCAAGGCATGAATATGGTTCACCAGGTTTGTACAGGAAGGATTTATAAAACTCTGAGTAGAATTCCACATAATATTAATAACAATAATAATAATACTTGTATTTGATATAATCCCTTATCGTGTTGTTGAGAACTCCCAAGTGTTTCACAGAATATACTGTAAAGTGAATCGACTGTGTATTTTGTGGGTAAAACCTGGCAGCCGATTGCACACAGCAGCGTCCCACAAACCGTGGTGTATTATAATGTGTATTGCTGGCGAAAAGTGATATTATTCTCGGCAAGCATTTGCATTGAAACAAATAAACCAGTTTTAACTTCAGTTTTTTAATCCTTTTCCCCTGATCTTTCCCCCACTCCTCTCTCCTGAAGGTCACGTATTGTATGTTACATTTAAAGGTACAGTTACCCAGACATTCTTCACATGTAAGGCTAGCTGTTTGAGAGTGTTTGACTGCCCATGGCTGTCAAAGCGAGGTTACTGGATAGTAATCCAGAGTCTGTCTGTTCCTTCTCTATTCACGCCTATCTTTGAGGCTAGTTATGCTGAGCCAACAACAAGATTCCATTTATTGAGCCCCTTTCACGTCGGGAGGACGTCCCAAGGCGCTGTACAGTTGGGTCAGGACCCGAGCATTGGGGGGAAATGGTCAGGGTGAGGGGAGGGAAGGGAGGGAGCGAGGAAGGGGTAGAGAGTCGAGAGGGGAGCTGAAGGCACGGTCAATGAGAAAGGTCTTGAGACCGGCCTTGAAGGAGGAAAGGGAGGAAGCGACAAAGGCACTGGGGGATAGAGTTCCAGAGCCTCGGGGCTGAGAGGCTGAAGGCCCGGCCACCGAATGTAGGGCGGTTGGGGCGGGGGCTGTGGAGCAGACCGGAGCCAGAGGAACGGAGGGTACGGGCAGGTAGGTAGGGGGATAGTAGGTCGGAGAGGTAGGAGGGAGCGAGGCCGTGAATGGCCTTGTAGGTGAGGGTGAGGATCTTGAATTCGAGGTTATTTTAATGCTCCCCAAAATCACAATCACCCTCAGCTGCCTATGAACATGGAACCCTGACTTCCTTTTCTGTATTGTTCATTCAGTGAGTTTATCAGAACAGCCTAATTATCAATTCAGTCCATCTCCACATCAGCCAACAGAAAACCTGTAACTTCTGAGTCAAATCAATTTGTAATCAATATAACATTACAAGCATCAGGATTTGAAAGGCTTTCACAGAGCAGTTAGTTATCAATGACAGTCGCACAGATTCCTGGGACAAATCCTCCAACTTGCCCTCAGCTTCTCTCCCTCCTATTAGTCACATTAATGTGCTGAATTTCATTTAACTTGTAATAAATTAATAATTCTTGCAATTCTAATGCCTTATCCCATCACTGAAAGATCTCAAAGTCCTTCACAGGTTTTCCAGTAAAGCACAATGACTGATTTGTAGGCAACCTATTCCAATTTCAAATCAGTCAAAAGTATTCGCTGAAAATCATTTAAACGATTTAAACTTCAAACAAAGGCAGCTACATCCACCAAATTCAAAATGATGAACTTCTCCAGTCACATTCACTCAAAATATTATTCCATAGAGATGAATTGTTTCTGATTTTACAGTAATATATAGAACAATTTTCCCCTGACTCACTTACTTTGATTAAATACTTTGGATTCAGCCTTGTTTGTTCCTCACACCCTCTGTGCAAAATGAAAACTATTTCTCAAAAGACAGTCTGTATAAGCACACCAAAGCAGAACAAAAGTTCTGCCGCTTTAAAGCAATTGTGAATTGAAAAGGGAATTTATTTTAAAAGGGATTTACCGCACAAAATCTACAGTAGAAAGTAGTTTATCTGCACGTTATTAATGCCCATGTCTGATTGTCCCGATGGATTCCGAAGTGAAAGTTCCTGGACAGGTCTCCGGGAGAAACTCCCTCACGTAACGGACCAGGCAGCCAACCTATGCTTATCATTCTCTAACGTGAGATTGTTCAGTTCTAGATGCGAAAAGTCCATTATAACGATCTTTAGTTATATTCATGAATATAATAATGATAATCCTTGCATTTGATATAGTGCCTTATCATATCTTTGAAACATCTCAAAGCCCTTCACAGGATGAACTGTAAAGTGTAGTGACTGTATATTTTGTGGGCGAAATATCATCACATTGTGACCCACCAGAAAAAAGAGAAATGTTTATTTTACCCATATTGCATCTAAATCATGAATTGCTGGTCAGTGATTTCTCAGCACCTGCGAGTTAGCCGTGTGGAGAAATGTATATGCTTATGAAGCATTATCGTCTCGATCTGACAAGTTGAATCACGTCATATAGTGGAGCAATGTTCCAAGCTGGTTTCATTCCTGACTCTTCCCACGCTACCTTCTAAATTGTATTTGTGTGTGGAAATCACATCAATGAGGAGAATCTTTGCGATTGTTGAGATTGTCAATGTTAAATCTGGGTCTCATCATTTGAAAGGTAGATCAACAATAATCCAGTAAGCCTTACATTTGATGTCACGTCAGGAGGATGTGATTTATTAGTTTGCAGGTGAACCATATGTAAAGCTCCCTGCCTACCTCCTTGCTTGTCAAATGAGTTGGCAAAAGCACGATGGGCTGAGTGGACTCCTTCTGTGCTGTAAAATTCTTTGCTTAAAAAGCTTATTGAATGCATTGATTCATTCTCTGCTGCCACATCTTTTCAAAAGAACTGAAGGAGCCCTTCAAAATAAAATCTCTACATACAATATGGAGTCCTGTAGTGTATTGGTTAGAGCACACTTGTGTCGCAAGATAGAGGACCTGGGTTTGATTCCTGGGCAGGGCGAAGCCTAAGGCAAGTTTCCTTACTCCACTTAACTCTATTTACCGAGCAGTAAGTAGAAATCTGGTTAGTTGATTGATGGATTGCTTTCTTGGGGTAATAATCCCTTCAGTAAATAAATAAATATAATAATAATTTGGTCATTCAATCCACAACTATTTGTGGGCCACTGCTGTGCGTAATTGGCTGCCGCATTTCATCCACAAAGTATAGAGTCAATTCACTTTACAACATATGAAACCTTTTGTGATGTCTCAACGATGAGATAAGGTGCTATATCAGTTGCAAGGATTATTATTATTACAAAAGGGCAAAGGAAGAGGAGTGGGAGCAAATGCATAGTCTCAGTGAGAGGGCAGAGGCACGGTGGACTGACTGAGCTCCTGTGCTGTAAAATTCTGATTCTCTGCTTTAAGCACATTACGGCATTGATTCATTCTCTGCTTCAACATCTTTTGAAAAGACCAGAGCGGTCCTTCCAAATAAAGGCTGTATATGCAATCTGTATGGGTAGTTTCACAGTCTCGTCTCAGGTATCTTTGCAATGTACTTTTCTCCTGGATTAAATGGTGATTTATTCATTTTATGTGGAGGTTGCGCTGTGTTCAAAGAGCGAGGGAGAGCAAATGTGGGACAGTTAATCAATATGACCTTTAGCACTCATTTCTTTAAGGCTTTATTCTCCTGAAATGTTGTATCTCTTCTTGTTAAGTATGACCGATTGTTTCTAAATCACAGGGATCCTGGAGTTCTTCCACCACCAGCTGAAAGACATTGTGGAATATGCCGAGCTAAAGACAGTGTGTTTCCAGAATTTACGAGAAGTGGGGAATGCAGTTCTCTTCTGCCTTCTTATTGAGCAAAGCCTGGTATGTGGCAATGTTGGCTGTTTACTCAGTGATCTGGACAGCTTTTACGTTAGACAAGAGAATACTCCCCCAATCCTTTATTAAAGTATTTTGGAGGCCGCCACTATCCACAAATTCAAAACTCCGCTGCCCAGATACTCACCCGCACAAATCTCCTTACCCCCATCTCACCAGTCCTCACCAGGCTCCATTGACTCCCTATCACAGAACAGATCGATTTCAAGATCTTCACACTCGTCCGAAAATCCTTTCATGCCCTAGCACCTCCCTTCCTCTCCGAGCTGCTAACTCCCCACTCCACCATCACCGCCTCCGCTGTGCTGGCTCCAGCCTCCTTCTTGTCCCTCGCCTCTCCGCTCTACCATCGGTGGCCGTGCTTCCAGCCACTATTCTCTGGAACTCTCTCGCTCAATCCCTCTGCCTTGACCCCTTTCCCGTTTTCAGATCACATCTGAAGATCTTCCTCTTCGACCGTGCTTATGATTACCATCTCCCTTCCCCTGGCTCGATGTTGGGCTCCACTGCTACGCGATCCGAGATGCTACCGTGCGCTCTATGAAAGTTATTGTTGTTGATAGGGCAAATATATGCAGTATGTTAAGTGTTTAAAGAAATATAATGAGGAAAAACCTGAATTATCACTTTTCTTTCGGTTTTAAACTGAGAAAGGCTAGCTGAGGGCCAAACGTATCCATAGTGCAGAACACCCTCCAGTATAGGAAGAGTAGAAAAGAAGATGGATTGTGTTGAGATTAGTGGTTAGGAGATGGCAGTATTGGATTTTATAAAGCTGTAAATTGTAGGAGGAAGGGAGGACAAGGGGGTAAGCAGATCCACAATTTCCTTTTTGTGGATCTTGGAAAGAACATGTGGTCAAAGATGATGCAAACAATTTTGATATCCACACTGGGTGGAAGAAAAGCAGATTGGTTGGTCAGTGATTTAAATCTTAGGAGAAAGGAAAGTCGAGAGCAAGATTTACTGTAAAGACTCTGTAATTTGTAGGTGAACACAAAAGTCAGCTTTGCCCACAGCAATACCCCACAAACAGCCATAAAATAAATACCCAATTTTATTTGGGGTATTGTTGGCCAAGATACCTGGGAGAGAGAAAATCCCTTTTTGTAACTCCCTCTTGCCTGTAACTACTGTGCTTGAAAATCTTCTTTGATGCTGTGTTAAGGGCTCGAAAGAGTAGAATCGTGGAATGTTACAGCACAGAAACTACCTTTAAAACTGGTGTTTTTCTCATCTAATCTAATCTTTCTCCCCAAACCCTTTCATATTTTTTTTCCCCCCAAGCATTTATCTGATCCTGCGTTTCTTAGTGTGTCCAATTATTTTTCTAATTTCTTATGACTTATATATTAGCAGCTCCTGGGCCTGATCTCCTCCTTGTGACAGCGTGTGGTTTCATGGCTGTTGGTTGCCTTCTGGGTGTCCTGCCCCAATGGCCATTCTTCACGTGTGAGCCTTGGCATTGAGTGTCAACAGGCTATTCCTAGGGGATAAGGGTCCGCAGCTTGACTTCTCACCTGACTGCAACACAAACAGACTATTGTTTGTTTCAAGAACAAATTACATTTTTGTCGAAAATAATATCTCAGGATACAGTATATAGTTTGGGACATGACATGTCAAGTGATGCCAGGATAGTGAAAGGTGAACTAGATGGACCTTGGTCTTCTTTTGCCCAGCAAATTCTTATGGTCTTATCACCAGGTGCTGTAGAAGGAACAGCCTTGACCAGTTTCCTCCACCCAGTTTCCTCATTTTCATCCACCAATTTATGAGTTTGTGGGTGAAAATGAGGAAGAGTTTCATCCACCAAATGAGTAAATAATAATAATCCTTGCATTTGATATAGTGCCTTATCACATCTTAGAGATGTCTCAAAGCGCTTTAGAGTATCCACTGTAAAGTGAATGGACTGTATTTTGTGGGCGAAACGCAGCTGCCAGTTGCGCACAACAGTGTCCCACAAACAGTCGTGGATTGAAGTGACCAATTTATTTATTGTTATTTTGGAAGGGATTATTATCCCCGGGAAAAGTGATCCGCCAATCAACTGACAACTGGGTACCTACTTGCTGCTGGAATACTCTGGAACTCCATCCCATGGTCCCTTCCCCTCGCTTCCTCCCTTGCGTCCTTCAAGGCCGGTCTCAAGATCCTTCTCTTCGACCGTGCCTTTGGTCGCTCTCCCACCTCTCTGCCTTCCCTCACCCCTACACCACCCCTCCCTCACGCTCGGGCCCCGACACCTGACTGTTCAGCTTTGGGATGTCCTCCCAACGTGAAAGGCGCTCTATAAATGTAATTTTGTTGTAGTTGTTATTGTTGAGTAAGGAAAGTTGCCCAATTCTTCTAAATTTCTCCTTTTACTCCTGGGAGGATAGAGAATATCTTCTCAAAGAGGGTTGCTGAACTATGGAATGATTTACCAGCAGTTGCTATCAGAGCAGGGTTGATTAGGGGCATTTTCAAATGAATTGGACACGCACCAACAGAGAAAGTATTATTCCAGAGGAGAGAATAGAGATTAAGATGGATTTTTTGTGGAGGAACAAACATTGACTTGAAAGAAATTGGCCATATCATACATGTCTAGAGTCAAGATTCAGACAGATACCGTAATAGAGGACAAGATAGGGTGTACTCTTTGAATGCAAAATGTTAAAATTATCAGGACACTCCCCATGGCCCAGATATTTTATTCAGTGGCTCTGGTCGTTGCAGATTGTTGTCTCACTTTACTATTATTTTCTTGCAGTCTCTTGAAGAAGTGTGTGACCTGTTGCATGCAGCACCGTTCCAGAACATTCTGCCCAGAGTTCATGTGAAAGGTAATCACTGAGAGTTGGATTGGGTGCTGCCTTGTGAGGCTTCCTATTATATAATGGTGTTAATGCACTACAACATACATTTATACAGCAAGCGCTTTCACATATGGAGGACATGTCAAAGCACTTCACATGTCTAGCTGGGTAAGCAAGGCAGGGGAGAGGGAGGCTAAGGGGTGGAATGACTGTAAGTGGGGTTAAAAAGGTACGTTTTGAAGCGGGCTTTAAACGGGGGGAGGGTGGGATGGGTCAAAGGGATTCTATGATGGAGTTCCAGAGAGCTAAGCCTGAATGGGTGAGCATTCACCATGGGGCAGAGAGTGGTGTGGGGGGGCATGAAGCGGTGTAGTATTCTATGCAAAACTACGAAATTACTAACTAAAACAGGTCAAATGAGCAACAACAAATTACATTTACACAGTGCCTTTCACGTTGGAAGGACGTCCCAAGGCGCTGAACAGTTAAGGGTTTCCGAGCTGGGAGTTGGAATCAAGAGGTTTTTGAGTGTTGGGGGGAGTGGGAGGAGGGACAGAAAAGTTGAACACAAAAAAGGGAGATGGAAATAGAGGGATACAGGACCGATAAATGCTCGTGTGGAGTATAAACATTAGCACGGAAAAATTGGTTTCTAAGGCTGCTTTCTGTGCTGCACCATTCTGTGTAAAAGTAGAATGAAAAAGAGTTCACACCATAATCAGATAATAATATACAACAATATTCTGATGCACTTAACAGAAGGTCAATTTGACAAAGAAAAATCATTTTTAAGATTTAGTTGCATCAGTAATGCTCTTGTTTTCTACTGAACAGAGGGCGAGCGACTGGACACAAAGATGAAAAGACTGGAGTCTAAATATGCTGCACTTCACCTTGTTCCACTGATCGAGCGCCTTGGAACACCCCAGGTAATTTCTATAATAATAATCCTTGCGTTTGATATAGCGCCTTATCACGTCTTCGAGACGACTCAAAGGGCTTCACAGGATATACTGTAAAATGAAATGATTGTGGCTGAGAAGGAAAAATTCTGTTGGTGCTTCTCTTCCCCGTGTTGTGTAGCACTGCGGTATTATCCAATGTGTTGTTTTTTTCCCACATTGTGAGAATCAAACGATCAAATGCCCCAACCAGCAAGCATCAAACCCCAAACCAAGGCATTGTTAAACATGATACAGAATTTGTTGTGGGCAGCAATGCTCTCTCTGGTGGTGCTCACTTTGTATCACGGACCTCGAGTTGACTGAGGCTTTTGCAAGCATTCTCTATGATGTTTTTTTCTGAAACTAATATTATTTTTATGCATGTTTTAATGTAACCTTAAACAAATCAGCCCCTTCAAGACTAAAATTCTACTTAACGCCATGTTTCTTTTTATGTCTATGCAGTGTCCTGATCTGTTTGCATTGCATTTTTAAAATAAATTGCTCCTGATTGAGTTCTTCCAAGAGGATTTCTTCTATTTGTTCCAAAGTACTCTCGGTCTCACCTTGACATACCCCAGCTGGGGAGCATTAATGTGGGATTTAAAATTATTCTCTCTCTCTCTCCCTCCCCCGCCCCCCCCGCCCTCTGGAGTTCAGTTGAGTTGTATGAAGCATTTCACACAGCCTCCCGACATGAACGCTGTTTTTATTGTTCATCTGACAATGACATTTCACTTCTCTAGTAAGAGTTGAGATTCAAACCTTTGGTGTGTAGATCAGCAATGCAAATGGGTTGAAACGCGGCAGCCAAATGCGCACAGCGGTGTCCCACAAACAGTCATGGGTTGAAATGACCAAATTATTGCGGTTTCATATTCTAGGTGTGACTTTAATAAAAAAAATTCCTGGTATTCTGCGTGTTTGATTTAAAATAAAATGAGGGTGATGGCTTCGCAATGTAAGGCTTGGAGGATAGTTGGGGGGCAAACAAGAGGTTCCACACTTTACAAATGCAAGTCTTTTTCTAAAGCTCCTGTGGGCAGCAGTCAGGAGCAAGAACCCAGGCTGAATTATTCCTTCCTCTCTGAAATTTCTCTTAAGGTGGGAGGTATAATTGGGGCTCCACTGTAGCTTGGCATAGCCAGCAAAGTACTTTCTTCAGTATTTAAATAATATTTAATATGATTAATAGCAAAACTCCACTAGTCAATCACTGCCCTGCCACGACCATTTCCATTAATCTTCGTTCTCTCTCTGTTGCCAGAGCAATTTTCAGTTGCTTTGGCCATTAAACATACGAGCCTTTTACTGGAGCCTTAGCTACTTCCCACTTAATTCCTTCAGTATTCGTAGCTGAATGCCATCTGGCCCAGGTCCCTATAGACATTTTCCTCGTCTCCAGTTCTTCAATGACTTGTCCAATTTGATCGTTATCCTCTTAAATTGCGTTCCCACTTTTATGATAACTGTTATCCCATCACCTACTGGAAAAGTCATAGCTCTGTACTTGAAAACCAATATGAATGTGCTCCAGGGCGCTAACCCACGTGAAGGTATATAAGTGCAAGTAGTTGTTGTTGAATGATGTTAGTTTGCATCTCTTGTCCACTTACCGTCCAAAATTGAAGTGGTAAGCAGCTTTTCAAGGTGTAGACTGGGTCACATCTGGAAGTAGAAAGTATGATATCTCCCTTCCCACTTGTAATAATCTTCCTTAAAACTACAACGTCTGTTAGGCTGACGTGTTGTAAAAGGTCAAGGGGAGAGCTTGAATGCACCAGTGTAAAAGGAAGCACCTCCTTGGTTTGCAGGTCACCAAATCTGCGTAGATGTGCTCCCTCCACTCAGCGGGCTCATATCTCCCACCCGGCCCACCCCACCATTGGCAGTCGGGCCTTCAGCCTCTCTACAACCACCGGTTGGAACTCCATCCCACAGTCCTTTACTTCGCCCCCTCCCTTGACTCCTTCAAGGCCCTTCTCTTTGACTGTGCCCTAAGCCACTCTCCTGCTCTCCAAATATATAATGAATATCCAGTTTATTAGACTTGTCACATCACGCCTGTTTTAATAGCTTTTCCTATTAGAATAACCTGACTGTTCTGAAGTTCCCACTTTTCTATCCTGACATTGAGCCAAAAAGGTGCTGATTCAGTCTTGATTTGTGATATTCGGCAGTAAATGAGGTTTCATTTCATGTCCTTAGCCTGTTTTGTCCTTTGGTATAATGAGAGACAATGTGATTCCTTCTATTTTTCTTTTATAACATGAACCGTTGTCTATAACATTCATGTATTAACAGAATTTATTACCTGTATCATACTTTTGTGATTCAAAAGTCTCTAAGCAGTATGTAAAACAGCAATTCCCAAAGTACAGTAAACGCCTGGCTTATTGCACTCCGGGTATCTGGAATTCAAACCTAGTGGACCAGGTCTGAACCAGAAATTTCAAAAAAATATATATTTCCTTGGACCCCAGGTGCAGACACCACGGTGGCGTGTTCACTCTGCTAGTCCGCATCAACCTTGCACTGAGCGGCCTCTCCACGCTTGCTGGCCTTCACAGTGAACAGGGATAATGACAACAACTTCCAATTATATAGCGTCCTTCACGCGAGGTAGCGTCCTGGAGCGCTTCACAGTGGCGGAGACTGACAACGAGCTGGAGGGGAGAGGGAGGAGGGAGGTGAACACGATCAAAAAGAAAGGTCTCCAGACGGTATTTGAAGGTGGGGAAGGAGGGGGCAAGGCAGAGGGATTGAGGGAGAGAGAGTTCCAGGGTTTCGGGGTGTAGTGACTGAAGGCACAACCACTGATGGTGGAGAGGACGAGGGACAAATAGGAGGGTTATTGACTTTGACTCAGATTATTTGAATCCTGTGAGCAGAAAATAGCTTTTTTGCTTAAATCTTCATCTTGTATCTTCTGCTCGCTCGATTCAAACTATTACAATGCCATATCAGCAGCAGAGATGTTACAAGTCTTAGCTGAAATTCCGGTTCTCCCCCCAACCCCTCCTTTAGTCCAGCTCGTTAATAAGTGTATTCGCCCACAAAGTAGTCAATTCACTTTACAGTATATTCTGTGAAGCTTTGTGATGTCTCAACGATATAAGGTGCTCAGTGGTTAGAGCACTCACCTTGCATGCGAGAGACCTGGGTTTGATTACCAGCAGGGCGAAACACTGGGCAAGTTTCCTTATTTCACACGGCTGATAATAATTCCTCAAGAAAAAAACATCTGATCACTCGATCCACGACTATTTGTGGGGACGCTGTTGTGCGCAGTTGGCTGCCGCGTTTCGCCCACAAAATACACAAGTCAATTAATTTTGCAGTATATTGTGTGAAGCGCTTTGAGACGTCTCAAAGACGTGAAAAGGCGCTGTATCAAATGCTAGAATGATTCTTATATATATCAAATGCAGCTATTATGATTATAACTCAGTTATCTACTGTGTGATGTCCTAAGTATTGTTTGAAAGACTTTCTCTAGTACAAGTATTTATCTTGTCATTGGGAGAAGCTGCCTTGTAGATTTAACTTTTGAATCGCTGATGTGGATTTGTCCGTCTCTCATTACTCAGCAAGTTGCAATCGCGAGGGAAGGCGACCTCCTGACAAAGGAACGTCTGTGCTGTGGTCTGTCCATGTTCGAGGTGATCCTGACCAGGATCCGCTGTTTCCTGGATGATGTGATCTGGCGTGGCCCTCTGCCCAGCAACGGGGTGATGCACGTGGACGAGTGTGTGGAATTCCACCGGCTCTGGAGCGCCATGCAGTTTGTCTACTGTATCCCAGTGGGAGCACACGAGTTCACTGTAGAGTAAGTGTCTGTACAACGTTCAAGGGTAAACTCGAGACGACTTGCATCCAAGTAAGTCAAGCATATAGGACCAGAGAGATCATCAACAACAACTAGCATTTATATTGGAGCAGGATGGCGTCCCAGAGCGCTTAATCAATTAAGATAACTGAAAATTAGTAAAGAAGATATTAAAATGGGCATCAGGAAAAACTCCTTTACACAAAATATCACTCTTTTTGGGGTCATCTGGGTGTCTCAAATACACGTGGAAATCCATCACCGTGTATGAGTTTCTAGACCAGATTGAGAATTCTCTGGACAGACTCACTCCCCGCTTACCCAATTCCGAAGAGTATGAAGTGTGGGTTGGCAGAAGCCTAGGCTTTGGGACCCCAAAGTGCGTGTTGGGGTTCTGCTAGAGTTTAACCATATCAACACACTTTACCGTGAAGAGCGCAAGAGCTGCCTGAGAGATTTATTGCTGCTGTGCAGCTCGGACCGTTCTATTAGAGCTTGGGTTTGCAGGACTTTCAACAGCAACAACAAAATTGCATTTGTAAAGTGCCTTTCACGTCGGGAGGACGTCCCAAGGTGCTGGACAGTCAGTATTTCGGACCCGAGCTGGGGGTTGGGATTGGGGAGGGTAGAGGGTTGGGGGGGGAAGGAGAGTGATCGAAGGCATGGTCGAAGAGAAGGGTCTCGAAACAGGTCTTGAAGAAGGCAAGGGAGCGAGGAGGAGGGACTGCGGGATGGAGTTCCAGAGGGTGGGGTATAAGTGGCTGAAGGCCCGCCTGCCAATGGTGGGGCGGATGAGGGGGGGACGTGAAGCAGGCCGGAGCCCGTTGAGCAGAAGGAGTGGGCTGGTTAGTAGGGGGTTAGGAGGTCGCAGAGGTAGGGGGGAGCAAGGGCATGGAGGGCTTTGAAGGTGAGAACCAGGATCTTGAACTGTATCCTCTGTGCGATGGAAGCCAGTGGAGTCGGGCGAGGATGGGGTGATAGGACCACGGAGCCTAGTGCAGGAGAGGACACGGGCTGCAGAGTTCTGGAGGATCCAAGTGAGAAGAATCCCTTCCCCGGTATTAATACCACTAAATATATTAGCAGAATACTGCAACATAGATACATACCATTCAGCATGTCAAGTCTGGTGTTTTCTGCACCCGGGGCATCTAATCTAATCCACTTTCCTGCTCATTCTCTCTAATGTCCTTTAAACTTCTTCCTTTTCACAAATCCATCCAAAAGCTAGATTTCCTTCTAATTCCCTCTTAAAAGAATGTGTGAACTCTGCTTCAACCACTACAGGGGGTAAACTAGGTATAGGGGAAAAGCCAGGGAAATGGATCTGAAAGGATTGCTCTTAAAAGAGTCGGCCGACACAAGGGGCTGAATGGCTTCTGCTGTGCCACAAATTTCTATGGATCTTGAAGTACAAATTCCAACCAACCTCTGTGTAAAGATGTGATGGGTTCAGGGAATCTCTGTTGAGTTGTGCGCTGTCTGATTGTGTTATTGAGTATGAACCTGATCTCCATGTGTGCTACAGGCAGTGCTTTGGCGATGGTCTGCACTGGGCTGGCTGTATGATAATCACTCTCCTGGGACAGCAGAGAAGATTTGACGTCCTTGACTTCTGTTACCATCTGCTCAAAGTACAGAAGCACGACCAGAAAGATGAAGTCCTCAAAAACGTGGTACGTCTTTCAAAGTATTCAAACGTATTGTGACTATTCTAATCTCTACATTTGTAGGAGTCCTGTAATTCAGTGGTTAGAGCACTCACTTGGCAAGCGAGAGACCTGGGTTCAATTCCCAGCAGAGGGAAATCTTGGGCAAGTTTCCTTACTCCACACACCTGATGATAATCCCTCAAAAAAAAATAACTTCACTTCAATCCACGACTCTTTGTGAGATGCTGCGTTGCGCAATTGGCTGCCGCGTTTCGCCCACAAATATATGGTCAATTCACTTGTACAGTATATCCTGTGAAGCGCTTTAAAACGTCTCAAAGACGTAAAAAGCGCTATATCAAATGCAAAGATTATTATTATTGTATTCTCTTCAACCGTTTAATGGCTGTGTGTGGAACATTCCTGTGTGTGACTGGGCTGTTGCATTCGCCTACCAACTATATCAAAGCAAGGAATATTAATCATTATAAATTATAAATAGGCAACCGTTTCTTTAGCCGATGCATACCCTACTCTGGGAACACAGTCAAAGGGGAAGAGGTTGTCAAGAGCCATCTTACTGATGAGCAGTTGCCCAAAATGGTGAACAGATGATAATTAATGATGAGCCTTATCAAGATTCAAAATACATGACGTAGAAATGAACCTCTTTGCTGGTGTGTTCCAAATCGGCTGAATTGTACAGTGCTGTTCCAGTGTGTAATACTGTGTGTCGATGCAGGGAAGTTGGGTTATTCGAAGCTCGTTTGCTGACACAATTTACTTGCAATGAGTTTCATTGGTTCGCACCTGAAGCCGATTGTAACTACCGCAACAGATTTGATTCTGCCTCTGGCTTCGTCATGCACTTGGCCATATCGCTCTGTTTACCAACTGGGCCTCCAGGAGAGGCTAAAGCATTGTGATTGGCAGTGGTGGTGAATCTCTGGGATGGACTGGTTCCTCCTTCAGCCTCAGGAATCAATAAGGAGTGTGTGACCACATGAAGCAATTTGACGGTCGGGTTTAAATTAAATTACGTTTAAGTTTAATCGGGTGGATTTACACACGTTATAATTAAACCTTTTTGCATTCTAACTAGTTCAAACTGATGCGTAATTTCCTGTTCTTTGGCTGATTCATTTTGCAGCCTCTGAAGAAAATGGTGGAAAGAATTCGTAAGTTCCAGATTCTCAACGATGAGATCTTCACCATTTTGTGCAAGTACCTAAAAGCGGGCGACGGTGAGAATGTCCCCGTGGAACACGTGCGTTGCTTCCAGCCGCCCATCCACCAGTCTCTGGCCAGCTCCTGAGAACCCCGCGGCAATCCTTCCTGGGATATCCGTCAGCCTAACAGTCAAGCTGAGAGCATCTGCGTTCTAAAATGATACTGTGTTTTAATGGTGGGCAAGTGGCAGAGGTTAGAGTTAGCTGCTGGGTGATGTGGACACGGTTTGCTGTGGTGAGGGCTTTTCCCTGATTTTTATTCTTCCAACAAACACGATCAGCAATAAGTAATTGGAAAAGGGTCAAAGATATTTTCTAGAGATTATTTTAGTTACAAAGATTGCTTAAAGGAATTTGTAATTGGAAATGTAACCTCTGCTTTGTAATGATGTTCGGTTATAAAATGATTAACAGAATTTTTCCAAATATATATTTTACTACACTAATCGACACTCAATAATGCAGGATACTGGCACTGTACTAAACATTGTCTGTTTTCTATACTGTACCAATAATTTGTTTTGCTTCTAACTTTTTATTCTGAGTATATTCCCTGGATAATCAACCAATTTACCATTTAGTTGGCAATAAATTTTAAAGCGAGTCCTGCCACTTTTTTGGTTTGAAATGTTGATCAGCATTCCTTCACCTGTTTACATCGCACGTGGGAATAAAACCGCTGAGACACTGAAATATTCAGAATGGATTTCCTGCTATTTAATTGCTTTCACTTGTACTTTGTCAGTGTGTGATGATCGGGCTTTTAAAATTGAAATTCTATTCTTTGCTGCTCAGATGTCTGTAAACATCTTGGATTGGACAACTGTGTTCACTTCTTATCATTATAGCCAGAAAAGAAGCATCAGTTTTGGATTAAATCTACAGAAGAGAACCAGAACAATGTATAGGGCTGTTGGTTATCCACAACCAGATTCAGCGCAGCTCTAAGAGACTCAACACGGGATTAAAATATTCCCTGAACTCACCCCAGTAACGGTGATAATTTTGGATGCTTCAACTTGATGTGATAAGGCACTACTTCAAATGCAAGGTTTATTATTATTATTGTCACCTATGGTTGAGCAATAGTTTACTGTCCTAACGTCTCAGTGTGAACGTTGTGCTGAGCAGATCCAATTCATTCTGCTCTTTACCAACAACTGATGGATTCTTCTCTCCGCTTGTAAATTAATTCGATTTTCCTCCTTGGCATTCCTTGTATAAGACAGTATGGAGGGGGGGTAACAGCAATGTATTGTTTGTGCCTTTGAGCTTGCTTCAAAAGCCCTTCACCTCATCCCCCTATATCAAATGCAAGGATTATTATCTATCTTTAAAAGCCTCCTACATATTTAACCATGACTACAGACACCTTCTTGTCCAGTGTGGAACTGATCGAAAGCTGCTTCACTTGAGAAAAGTTCTCAAACCCATCTCAGCGCAAATACTCTATATATAAACACAATTATTCTTGTGGTTCTAAAGTAAAGACAATATTCCTTGTTCCTTTCCTCCTGAATATTAACATCAGATCCATTATGATATGAAAGTGAATCAAAGAATTTATTTCAAACATTCAAAATGAAACCCCTCAGTGCATAAAGTACAATATTGTTTCAAAAAATATTTAAACAATATGAAAATCAGCATATATACATAGTTACAGTCAATTTTTGAACAGTTATTTAAACCACAGAAAAACAGAAACACATCATTTAAAAGATGTTAAAAAAAGAGCCACGAGAAACCAGGCAAATAAAATGAATTATAATCCTTGGTCCATTGCAATCCCACTTGAAAAAAAATGATTGTCTCTAGAGACTCCAATAAGTAAAGCCACCAGCGCACATAACTGTTACACAAGCAGCTCAAATTCAGGTGGCTAAGACAGCAAAGAGTTACTATAGACAGGGCAGTGCATTTATTCCATCCCTTCACACATTTCTGTCAAAATCTCATATGGTGATCATATTTCCATTTCTTCTGGAGGAGATGGTCTCAGAGGAGTGTATATCTGAACTGTCTGCACAGGTTTCGTTCACATCATGATCCAATTGCTCATAATGTGCAGTCCCATTGGCGGCGAATCCTCTTTCTTCTTTTCTCATGAAGACGGGCAGCGTTGCCAGGGTTAGATTGATATCTTTGAAGGCATGCAGGAGGAAGATGCCCACTATGATAGTGAGGAAGCCACTGAATGTACCAATGATGTCGTCAGTGTTCATATGATACCATTCCTTAAAAAGAATGGCCGAACAGGTCAAAACGGACGTCGTGAAGAACACGTAATAAATTGGAGTCACTAAGGAGGTGTTGAAAATGTCCAGTGCCTTGTTCAGGTAGTTGATCTGTGTGCTAACACAGGCTATAAGGCTCAGTAGGAGGATCCACGACAGAGGGTGACGAAGCACAGGTGTTCCTGCAAATAGTTGCTTAATAGCAATGCCGAGGCCTTTCACACAGGACACAGACAGTGCCCCAATCACAGAGCAAATGGCTATGTAAACCAGTATGTTTGTCTGCCCGTGGCGAGGTCCCACCACACAAATGAGAATCAGGGAAACAATGATGATCAGAGTTGCAAACACCACAAAACCTGGAACAAAGAATAAAAAGAAAGTCATTTTTATCTGGGGAAGTCCTGGGGGAAGTCCTGGGGGAAGTCCTGGGGGAAGCGGCCTATCTCCAACCACCGTCGGGAACAGCTTTTGCTGATTCACTCGTCCACTCTCTATGCAGAAGATCTACTGCAGCTCAAGAGTCGCTCAGACTTAGAAGAGCATTTGTATTAGATCTAGAACAGCGTGTGTTACCAGACAGCCCTTTATCATCACTAAAATGTCACTATTGTCCTCTAAATATTCCACACTTTGGTATTTACTGAACCTGTAGCAGCAGAAAAATATCAATATCAAACCCCTTATAAGCACAAGTGTGCTTTCACCAGGAGCCGGCTGATTCTTGTTAGCAATGCTCAGAATATTAAACTATTTATTAAAATCAAAATGTAATAAAATAACAATTCAGTCGCTCATTCCACGACTGTTTGTGTGACGCTGTTGTGCGCAATTGGCTGCCGCATTTTGCACATACGGTTAATTCACTTTTCAGTATATTCTGTGAAGCGCTACCTCAAAATGCAAGGATTATTATTATTATAAGTACTTGCTGCTTAATCTAATAATTTGGGATGTCCTCCTAACGTGAAAGGCGCTATACAAATGTAATTTTGTTGTTGTTCATGGCAGCAAAATAGAAGCATTATACAACAACAAGAACAACAACAACAAGATTCCATTTATAAAGCGCCTTTCACGTCAGGAGGACGTCCCAAGGCGCTGCACAGTTGGGTCATGACCCGAGCAGGGGGGAAACAGCTTGAAACTGCTGATCATCTACTCCTGGGTTTAGTTTAGTTGAACCTCATTGTGTGGGCACTTGGTTAATGAGGGCACTCACTGATCAGACCACTGCCTCATCATCCATTTTTAATCATTTGTAACTTACGGTGATCAAATCTCAAACTCACTGATGAGTTATACCACTATAACAAAGGAAACATAACCCAGTCTGTTGACTGCCTTTTATAGCGAGTTTCCTCAGTTACATATTTTTAATTATTCATTCATGAACTAATACGGTAATTCTAAAAATAAGCAGCAGAGAACCTGATACCAAACATATGTGGAACTCAGTCATTTCTCCCACAAAATAGTCAATTCACTTCCCAGTATATTCTGTGAAGCGCTTTGATACATCTCAAAAACGTGACGAGGCGCTATATCAAATGCAAGAATTATTATTATTTCTTGCAAACTCTAAAGCACAGTGATGGGTTTCTGTGTGTGTCAGACACCCAGATGTCAACCAAAAGGCACAGAGATGTTTTCCTGCTGCTGTGCCAACACACAAACTGTCCCGACACGTCTAAGATAAGCTCTATCAGCCTTGGTCAAGCCTGGTTATTGGTACAATTCACAAATGTGATTCCACCACAAGAAACAGGAGTAGAAAAAGACACAGGAGAAAAAAACGTTAAATACAATGACAACATTATAAATGGTAACAATAATAATAATCCTTGTATTTGATAAAGCAACTTATCACATTGCCAAGACATAAAGATTGAACAAAAAAGCAAAATTAAAATACAAAAGAGAAAGGGAAAATAGTTCAAGCAGTTTCTTCACATCCTAACTCAGAGAAACCTTTTATTTGTGACTTTTCAAAATCAGACATTTTCAGTGGGAGGCCATTCAGCCCATCGTGTCTGCGACACTGTTATTTCGCTGTACTACCACATTCTATTAATTTTACTTTCCAGCTCTTTCCCGATCCAACAACAACTTGCACTTATACAACGCTCTCCACCCAGGGTAGTGTCTCAGAGCACTTAACAATGGCGGAGCCTTACTCCGAGCCAGGGGAGGGGGTCGTAAGCACGGTTGAAGAGGTAGATTTTCAGGTGGCACTTGAAAAAGGGGAGGGGGCAAGGCGGAGGGACTGAGGGAGACGGTCCAGAGTTTTGGGGCGTGGTGGCTGGAAGTGCGACTTCTGATGGTGGGGCGGGGGGTGTGAGGGATGAGCAGGAGCCGGTGCCAGTCGAGCGGAGGTGCCGGGTGGTGGATTGGGGAGTGGGAGGGAGGTGCCAGGGAGTGAAGGGATTTGAACACGAGAATGAGGATCTTGAAGTCGATCCATTTGGCGATGGGGAGCCAGTGGAGCCTGGGCCAGAGCTGGGGAGATGTGGGGTCGGAGTTTGGTCCGGGTCAGGATGTGGGTGGCAGAGTTCTGAATGAGCTGATCTTTTGACGAGCGGAGCTGGGGACTGTACCTGTGGTCCCACTCTTAGTGATTCATGTTGGTAATGCATTTTAAAAGTCGGAGAGTTGCAGCTACAGTAAAGTACAACATGAGTTTGAACGAGTGCCTTACCGGGATCTTTAAGCTTCGTGGCCATCTCATGTATGGTTTCCACCTCTTCTTCCTGTGGCGCGTGTATAACCATCACTGTGGAACCCACCACACTCAGAAAACACCCGAGCTTGCCATGGAGATTGAGTCTCTCGTTCAGGAAATATGACGACAGAACAGCGCTGGGAGGAAAAACAGATACGTCAGAACAGCAGCAAAACAACAACTTGCATTTATATAGCGCCCCTCATGCAGGGTAGCGTCCCAGAGATTGGGTTCAAGTGCATGAAAAACTATTTGATTATAAATTAAGTAAATGAATTCGGAATTCATAAACAAGCTTGACAGTGCTACACTAGTAATAGAAATAATAATAATCCTTGCATTTGGAATAGCTCATTTTCACGTCTTCTGGACGTCTCAAAGAGCTTCACAGAATATACTTCATTGTAACCTACCCTTCAGTGTATATTTTGTGGGCAAAACACGGCAGCCAATTGCGCACAACAGCCTCCCACAAACAGTCATGGATTGAAGCCACCAATTTATTATGTTTTTCTTCTTGAGTGAATATTATCAGACGTGTGGAATCAGGAAACTTGCCAAGGTTTTGCCCTGCGGGAATCGAACCCAGGTCTCTCGCTCGCCTCCTTCACAAACTGTCATCCTGATCCCATGAAACCGGAGACATACACATTGAAAAACAAAACACTATCCATGGCCGCAGACTCGCTGGCTTACACAGCTCGCTGAACATCAAGTCAGCAACAACCTGTCTCGGTGGTAATAATAACATGAGATGGGAGTTGGAGGCAAAACAACAATGGAGATTTGAAAGGTGTTGACTGAGAGATGAGCTTCGGTAATTACAACACAAAAGGCATTTGGGTTTCAGGATAAATTCAGACACTTTACTATTCTAAATGTAAAAATTGCAAAAGCAAAACAAGAAAACTCCATCTCCTCACAGGCTGTGTAAACCTTACCCTAACTTACCCGACCAGCCCCATCCACGCCAACTCCACTGGCTTCCCATCACACTGGGAATGCAGTTCAAGATTCTGCTCCTCACCTTCAAAGCCCTCCATGGGCTTTCTCACCTGCTACCTCTGCGACCTCCTAACCCCCTACCAACCTGCCCGCTCCCTCCGCTCACCGGTTCCGGCCTGCTTCACATCCCCCGCCTCGCCCGCCTCACCAATGGTGGGCAAGCTTTCTGCAACTCTGCCCCCACCCTCTGGAACTCCACCCCGCAGTTCCTCCGCCTCGCCCCCTCTCTTGCCTCCTTCAAGACCCGTCTCAAGACCCTTCTCTTTGACCATGCCTTTGATTACACTCTTTCACCCCTTGCCCTCCACCCTCCCCAATCCCAACCCCCAGCTCAGGTCTCAGCTCACTGATTGTCCAGTGCCTTGGGACGTCCTCCCGACGTGAAAGGCACTTTACAAGTTAGGGATATATATAACACCAACAATTCCCAATCCATTCAACATGGAGATCAAGCCCCAATCCCATCTTCCTCACTCTCCTCTGACCCTCCTCCAATCCAGAACAGATTACTGTGAAACTCCACTAATCACTCCCTCCTCACTCCCGCCGTGACTGGCTCACAGAGCCTTATCCATCTCTCACAACCTATTCCATACTAAGAAGATGGAGGCACATTTTCTACTAGAAAAATATTACACGTCATCATCTAACTTACAAGATTGTTCCTTTTAACAACCACTGGAGTCCCAGCTCAGAGAAGCTAATGATCCTGATAATGTCTCGCACTGATAGAAAGGCACACTTTCCACTACCGAATGGCTTCCTTCTGTGCTGTAATATTCCATAATCCTATGAAAGTCACACCTTCCACCCCTACCATCTACACAGAAATAGCTACCTGCTAAGAAGCTGTTCAGGATTATTGTACAGTTCTTTAATATCTAAATAGGATCTATAAAGACATCTGTGTTGTAAACAATAATATCTATACATTTCGTAGGTACTGTAGAGAAAGTGGTGAGCGCTGCACATATCATATACATGTGCTGATTGTTTGTGTTGTTACCAGAGAACAAAAGTTGGTATATGTGAAGAAAAATATATTTAATGTAAACCTCATCCTTCCTATCCCTAGCCATGAATATCAGGAACTGAGTCTAATTTGCAGTTCTTGCAATTGGTTTTCCTGCTAAATGATCCCATCGATGTGTAGGAATTGCTAATAATGACGCTTGCATTTGTTATAGCACTGTATCACGTCATTGAGATGTCTCAAAGCGCTTCACAGGATATACTGTAAAGTGGTTTGACTGTATTTTGTGGACTAAATCCCACAAACAGCCGTGGAGTGAGTGACCAATTTCATTGTTGGCCAGGGCAACAATAATAACAAGATTACATTTGATAGCGCCTTCCACGTCGGGCCAATGGTGGGGCGGGTGGGTCGGGGGATGTGGAGGAGGCCGGAGCCGGCTGAGTGGAGGGAGCAGGCGGGTTAGGAGAGGGTTAGGAGGTCACAGATGGGGCGAGGCCATGGAGGGCTTTGTAGGGCACCAGGAGAAACTCCTTTTTCTTTTCGAATCGTTCCATGGGATCTTTGACATCCACCCGAACAGGCAGACAGGACCTCGGTTTAATGTCTCACCCAAAGAACGGCACCTCTGTCAATGCAACGCACACCCAGCACTTTGTTGGGAGCGTCAGTTTGGATGATGTAATTCCAAATCCCGAAGTGGGGCTTGAACCCACAACCTTCTGACTCAAGAGGGGAGAGCGCGACCACTGTGCCAGACTGACACTCAGACACACAGACTATTACCTGACTAGGACACTGAGAGCTCCCAGTGGCGTTACTAACGTAGCCGGAGCAAACGCGTATGCTGCAAAGTTAGCCGCTTCACCAGCGCCCACTGCAGGGAGACAACAGAACTGCATTAAATTGTGCTACACGACAGGACTGAGACTGAACACAGCCTCACGACATAATAATAATAATAATACTTGCATGATATAGCGCTTTTCACGTCGGGAGGACGTCCCAAAGCGCTTCACAGAACACACTGTAAAGTGAATTGACTGTATATTTGTGGGCGAACGCGGCAGCCAATTGCGCACAGCAATGTCCCACAAACAGTCGTAGATTGAAAATGACCAATTTATTATTGTTTTGGTTTTGGAGGGATTATTATTAGGCTCTGTGTGGAGTAAGGAAACTTGCCCAAGGTTTCGCCCTCTGCCTGGAATTGAACTCAGGTCTCTCACTTGCAAAGCGAGTGCTCTAACCACTGAGCTACAGGACTCCACAAGAAAAATAACAACCAAGCACATTGCCGTGTGTAAATTACATGCAGTTTTATAAAAATCAACGTTATTTTACTTTAATTTTGGTCGAGTCTGAAATAGATGTTCGGGCCTTCAGCCTTTCTGCTCCCGCTCTCTGGAACTCGATCCCGGATCCCTCTGCCTCACCTCTTCTCTCACCTCCATAAAGGCCCGTCTGAAAACCTTCCTCTTTGACCACAGCCTTGGGTTATCTTATTTGTTAATTTTTAATTTCTTAAAAAGTTAGATTTAAGGCCGGTAAATTCAGAACGAATCTATGCAAACACTATTTCAGTGAGCGAACAGTGAACCTGTGGAACAGACTCCCGAGGGAGACGGTTGAAGCAGGAAATATTGATTCTTTCAAACACAGATTAGATATTTTTCTTTTAGGAAATAACATTATGGGATACAGTACATAGGGAGTTTGGGACATATGTCCATGCGACCGCCAGGAAGGTGGAAGGCGAACTAGATGGACCTTGGTCATTTTTCGTCTAGCATTTCTTATGTTCTTATGTTTCTTAATCTTTTTCTCTTTTTTTTTAAATAATTTTTTTTAATATAGAACAAACGGGAGGTGGGATAGAGAGAGAGAGAGAGTAATTTAGCTCTTAACTGTGGGGATAATTTAAATGTTAATTTCAAGGTAAGAATCAAGTCCCACTCAATGCACTTCACATCTCCAATCTATCACCTCTCATGCCTTCAGTCAGGCCTTGCAGTTCCTGATGCACAAAGTTGGGTGCGTGCAGATATATACACAACCACACAAATACACAAGAGAGGAGGTGACAGTCACAAAGCTTTTGAAGCCGTTGGCAAGAGGTTACTGGACAGGATCCGCCTATTCCCTTTGCCCTGATGCTCATTCCCGTGAGGATAAATTTAGTTGTTTTTTGTGTCAAAACAATGACGCACACAACTTCACACATATATAGGAGTCACACTGACAGAGTGAGTTGGAGAAGCAGCAAAACCGATAAGGGTGTGAGCATCTAATTATAAATAGCTGACAGACCACAACAAAATTACATTTGTATAGCGCCTTTCACATCTTCCCAAGACGCTGACCATTAATAACCACTAAAACACATTTTTGGGGGCAGTTCGGTATCCCATCATTGTGCTTTAAGAGTATCCAAACCAAGCTGAGATTTCTATGTATCCCAACTACACATAGAAATCCCAGAGGTAGATTATGGAATGGAATGCACTCTCTCCCCCTGGAGGGACACATCCCGCTTACCTAATTCCAGAAAGTATTAGGTGCAGTTTGGCAGAGCCAAGGCTTGAGGACCCCAGAGTGTGCATTGGGTCTAACCAGCTGAAACCACACAGCTTGCCATTGATATCGCTGTCTGGCCAAGTTTTCCCGCTGCTTGTCCAGCAAGGACCACCCTACCTGCTAGGGCTTTGGCTTGCAGGGTTAACAGGAGCTGAGTGGGATGATTCCCAATCCCCAGTGACTGGTCTGCCATTCCAGGTCCTGCTGGTTTGCCAGGCTGGCTGTGCTGCCCTGGAATCCTGCAAACCCGCCGGGCTCAGGAACCGGACTACCGAGACCGCCACAGAGGGCTGACTCCATTCCAACATTCCTTTCCCAATAATGTCACTTTTGGGCCAGTTTAGCTCCAAGGAGACCCCGCTTCCCTCCCTAAGGAGGCTAAACACTTTCAGAGAGCGGGGGCATAGAAGTAAACAGAACTGTTCAGTAAACAATCTCAAAATATCCTTCAGTCCCTTTCTCGCTCACATTAGGGAAACAAAAAAAGTCTTTGGCGGTAACAAGAACAGAAGCCTCAGGACCCTGGTGAATAATAATAATAATCCTTACATTTGGTATAGTGCCTTATCATGTCGTTGAGACTTCTCAAAGCGCTTCACAGCATATATTGTAAAGTGGATTAACTGTATTTTGTGGTCAAAATGCACAGCAATGTCCCACAAACAGTTATGGGTTGAGTGACCAAATATCTTTTTTATACTGGAGGGATTATTACATCTGAAAGTGATCCGCTAACCAACTAACAACTGGGTTCCTATTTACTGCTGGGTAAACAGAAGCATGTGGAGTAAGGAAACTTGCCTATGGTTTGGCCCTGCCTGGGAATCGAACCCAAGTCCTCTCCTTGTGGGGCGAACACCCTAACGGACATGTGAACAGAAAGACTGAGGAGAAATTGTACTGAAGCATCAGTGGGCATCTCATAGATCTCCCACAGCCTTGGACTCTCTGGTTCTGCAAACAAACAAGTTTCGAACAGAAGCGAGGTGTAAGCCACTTGCGAGCAACTAATTAATGGAAGCTCACTTGTTAATGAACCCTCAAGCATAACAGATTTCAGAACCTTCAATATAGCAACACACCCTTAAAGCTGCACTAAAGCATAAATAAATCAGTTCATTAATGAATGTATTCCTTAACCCAGGTTTGAGTTGCCGGAACAATTTCTGTTTAAACCCGAGCAGCTCTGGTGCTCCTAGTACTTACTTGATAACAGTCCAGCCCACCACAGCCACTCTTTAAGATACGCATGTCCCCCCTGACCTGTAGATTAAATCAGAGAAGTCATTAAGAACATTTCACACTTGGGAAGTCAACAATAATTCAGAGCGAGGATGTTCAACAGTTGTGGACATTGGTGTTTCGCTGGCACCCTGCCACCAGTTCAGCTCACTTGGGCAAAGGAGAGTGGTGGTGCGAAGATGACCAATGGTGCGGTCCAACTGGAAGGTCTAGAGATGGGCCTTGAAGGCAGAGGGGCTCCAGGATGGAGTTTCAGAGAGTGGGGGCAGAAAGGCTAAAGGCCCAACCTCCGATGGTGGAGCGGGGAGGGTGGTACAGTTTAGTACTGCTTTCCATGGATGCACTGTACACCTCACTGAGCCAGTCCGGAACTTGGAATCTTGGCCCACAACTATCCTTTCTACCCTACATCCGTGCCATGACCCTTTCTGCCTTCCCCAATTCTGTAACATTGCCCGGCTCCCACACTGTCTCACATTGCAGGCTGTTGAAACGCTCAACCATATGTTCATTACAGCTAGGCTCGACTACGCCAACTCCCTGTTGGCCTTTCCAACTCTTCCCTCCACAAGCTGCAGATCATCCAGAACTCTGCAGCTCGTGTCCTCTCCCACACCAGGCTCCGTGACCCCATCACCCCCACCCTCGCCCGGCTCCACTGGCTCCCCATCCCTCAGAGGTTAGAGTTCAAAATCCTCGTCCTCACCTTCAAAGCCCTCCATGTCCTTGCTCCTCCCCAACCCTGTGACCTACTGACGCCATAGCGAACTGTCCGCTCCCTCTGCTCAGCAGGCTCCGCGGAAGGGTAAAGCAGCATTGAACAGTGATAGCTCCGAAGGGCTTTGCTCACCACTCTCCCAGGTGCTTGAAAGCTGGTAAAATAACCAAGCATATCCCGGAGTGATCAGCTGGCAAAGGTGGACTTGCTCAAAGAATGAAATTTGCAACGCTAGCTTTTCCTTACAAGCCAAGATGCTACACTCATCTTACAGTGACCTGGCTGAGAATAGACAAAGCTTACAACCGCAACAAAAATAATTTGCATTTATATAGTTCTCTTCACCTGAGGGAGGGTCTCTGAGTGCTTACCAGTAGAGGATGTGTGTCAGGGAGAGGGGGAGGTGTCTATATGTATGGACAAAGAGAAAGATGTTCAGATGTGATCTGAAGATGAACAAGGAGTGGGCAAGATGGAGGGATTGAGGCAGAGAGTTCCAGAGTCTCAAGGCACAGTGGTTAAAAGCACGGCCGCTGATGGTGGAGGGGGGAGGATGAGGGACGTGCAAAAGGCTCTTTTGTACTTACTGCCGCCAAAATTGCCGATTGATACCATACAAAAACATGAATCAATGACTAAACCTGTGAAGTGAGCATTTAAACCATTGAAGTAGAGGAATAGCATTCCATAAATATTAGTTGCATTAGTATGTAACAAGCAACAACAACAACATGATTATATTTGTATAGCGCCGTTCAAGTCGGGAGGACGTCCCAAGGCGCTGGACAGTGACAGCATTTCAGACCCGAGCTGGGGACAGGGAGGGAGAAGGGAGGGGAGGGGAAGGGGGGTGACGGAGGCAGGACTTGAAGGAGGCTAAGGAGGGGGACGAGGCGGAGTGATTGGGGGATGGAATTCCAGAGGTTGGGGGCAGAGTGGCTGAAGGTTCTCCTGCCAATGGTGGGGCGGGTGGTTTGGGGGACGTGGAGCAGCCAGAGCCGACTGAGGTAGGGAGCTGGTGGGTTGTTCCTGCTGCTATTGAACAGTCTCATAGATCACATCTCACCTGCTCTCATAGAGCCTTTTTTGGCCAGTCTTAGGAGTCCTTTCTTTTTGAGGATGAAGCTCCCTCCAATGAAAATGCTGGAGCTAATGGCCAACACCAAGCCGACGTAAAAGTCGTATCTTCCCCGTTCCTGCCCCATTCTCCGTGTTGCTGGTGCGCTGTAGTTTGTCACATTAAGCACCAGGCGAATGAGCTGCTGCTGGGAACGAGGTGGGGAAGGAAAGGCAACTGAGGCTGTGGTAGAGAGGAAAGAAAGAAAACGTATTAAATAAATTACTCTTACACTTGATATAGCGCCTTTCACATCAGGACGACGGCGCAAAGCGCTTCACAGGATGTCACTGTAAAGTGTAATAACTGTGTATTTTGTAAGCGAATGCAGCAGCCAGCGCCAGATGCTGCCTTGTTGCCGAACATCAGCAATGTAGTTTTCCCCAAGAAAAATTTTCCACATTAAAGATCTACATATTCTTGTCCAGCTAGGACCATCCTACCCGCAAGGTTAACAGGAGCTGAGTGAGATGATTCCCTGCCCTTCCAGGTCCTGCCGATGAGTCAGGCTGGCTTTATCATCAGTGCCCAGAATTCTGTGAACCCACCTGGCTTAGGAACTGGTCTACACCAATTAGACCCACTATGCCGAACATCAACAACAACTTGCACTCATATAGTGCCCTCCACGCAGGGGAAGAGTCTCGGGGCACTTAACTGTGGCAGAGTCCGACTTCGAGCCGGGGGGGGGGGGTGGAGGTGACCATAAGCACGATCGAGAAGGAAGGTTTTCAGCCACTACCAATAAACATCACTAGTTTAAAGACTTGCAACCCTTCAGGGGTAAACTTTACCCCCAAAAAATACTCATATTCTTGTTTTCATGCAGAAGTCGAAAGCAAAATTAGGGGTTTGAATACATGCAAAGCAAGAAGGATCATGGCCTGGCAAGGCACTGCAAACGTTAAACAGCTCACCTTCTCGTCCTATCTCATGGCGCTGTCTGAGGGGTTTATTAGTAGTAGTGGCTGTGAAAGATACAAAGCCAAACAGCTAGTTAGTAGTAGCAGTATCCAACTTCAAAAGCAAAGCATATCAAGAGCAAAAAGTACAGCAGTGATTATTATACTGTAAAACTCGCACAAGTCTGATCTGTATAAATCGTATCTTAGCCTAAGTCGTATATCTGCCCAAAAGTATCTGTTCAAAAGTTTACATTCCATGTAAGTTTGACATAACTCACACTTTGCATGAATTATATTAAATGTATGGTTCCAACTGATACGACCTGTGTGAGGTTTACTGTAGTGCGACCTGAGCACCAATGCATCCTCAGAATTTCTTCAGAATTAACAATAATCCTGAAACCGCATTCATTGAGTGACGGTTTGATCTTGCATTGGAATTTGAAAGGAGAGAAAAAAATCTGCTTCGTTGAAACGCCATTTTTGAAATTACGCATATTCAGGAAATGATTGGTGTGTGTCTGCGTGTGTGTGTGTGTGTGTGTGTATAATACAATTTACATTTATACAGCGCTTTTCATGTTGGGAATGTCTGAAAGCACTTACCCCAGCTGGCTGGGCAATGTGCGGCAGAACATGTTTGGCTAAGTAATGACTGTAAAAACAGTGCATGAACAGGTCAGGTGTTCCTTTTAGTGCAGTGAAATGGTATTGGTAGAGGGTAAATCCTGAAATATTTTCTCCTCTATTGCAAGTCATCACAAAAACAACATTTGAAGGGCAACACTTGGGGGGAGGGCCGAGAGGCAGGCTTTTCCTACTGGTGTAAAAAGCCTTTGATGAGTCTAACTGACGCTGCAGGGGGAACCTATAAATACTAGAAGAGGGGGGAAACCTATAAATACTTGTGGTTAGTTTCTTGGTCATGAAGAGAGCGTCCGGGATCCTGAAGCATTGATGAACGTCTTTTGTTAGGCCTCATGAACACGGTTAGTAAAAGCCATTCTGCTCCAACGTTGAGTCAGATTAGTTCTGTAAAGCAGGTAGTTAGGGCCTTGGAAATCCTTTGGATATTACACCCCATGCTATAAGCAGCATTGGCATCTGATGGCAAAACGTGCATTAGCAATGTCTGCCATTCCCCACCCACCCAACTTTATGGCCCACCTACCTACTATCTGGCAGATTTCCAAGGACAAGCTCCCAAACGTGGGCCTGCAAAGACAGAGCCTATTGTCAGCCAGTCTGTAGCACAGAGGGCTATGGGCCACTTGCGGCTCTACCCCAACCAATAATAATCCTTGCATTTGATATAGCGCCTTATCACATCGTTGAGACGACTCAAAGTGCTCATAGAATATACGGGCTATGTATTTGTGAGCAAAATTTGTCACCACAGCAGTAGCTCACAAACAGTTGTGGATTGAGTGACCAAATAATTTTTTAAGGGATTATTACCCCTGGAAAGTGATATGTCAATCGACTAAATAACCAGGTTCTACTTAATGCTAGGCAACCAAAGGTGTGTGGAGTAACGAAACCGGCCTAAGGTTTTGCCCCACCAAGGCATCGCTTGCGAGATGAATGCTGTAACCCAATACGCTACAAGACTCCAAGTACCAGTAAGTGGCCTTCTGAACACGAGAGGAGAAAAACAAAATCTGATGTTTTCTTTCCATGGTGTGCTCCAATTTGTGTAAAAAAAATGTGTTCATGAATGAGTGAATAACATTAAAAAAAACACACAACACTGCAGCAAAATCTGACTATGACCTAGAAGTACTGAAATCCCAAATGGAAGAAGTATACAATTTCTTCCAAAACCAAGCTGCATGCCTCCTTTATTGGACTCAATAAATATTGGTTTAATGGGTAAGGCACGTATGGCATGCAAATAATGTACAGCTTGCCTGGAATTTCTACATAGATCAATCCTCAGACCTACTGCTCAGTTCTCTTATTCAGGCGGTACGACAATAGCTGGTTGTGTTTCTTGGCTGCAGTACGTAGTTGCTCAATGCTGTAAGAATACTATTAAATTCTAATCACACCATAAATGCAAACCAGAAAATAATAGCACAAAAGGTGTGTCTTTCATATCTTGGAGAAAAGAAACCACTGCTGACCCGACTTAATGAGTGGCGTGACAAGTGTGTGGGCACTTTGTTGCTGAGCACATGATGTCCAACAGATCAGCAAATCAACAAGGCACTAAACACAGGCGAAGCAGAAACACAGGCCATTATTAAGTGTCCGATACAGTACCTTGATTCTTAGACAATTTTCAAGTACAGTTCTTCTCTTTAATTAGGACATTAGATTCCCATTTGCATGTACTGTGAGATGTGTCCGTTGGTGGTACTGGTGGTGGTTGTGGGGTGGGGGAGAAAAGAGACAAAAAAACATTGTTTAGAGAGAAAAGAACAAGATAGAATAAAACAGAGATAAACATGTTTGTCCAACTGAAGCAGTATGACAGCGAAAGCAATTTCTGCTTCATAATCCAATTAGAATTTCGTTTTTTGCTGAATAAGCTAATCCGAGTCAGGAAAACAGTTAATACAACAAATAGCTTCAGCATCATTGGCCTACAGAATGGGGGAAACAACAGTGTATGTTCTCTGCTTATTCATTGTCCAATGATCCCTCTTCTCCCCCCACCCCACTCTGCGCACACACACACACACACTTGAATATGCATAATAATAATCCTTACGATTCTCAATGTGCTCCACAGAATATATTGTAAAGTGAATTGACTCTATTTCTGCGTCACAACACGACAGCCAATTGACAGCAGCGTCTCAGAAACAGTCATGGATGGAGTGACCAAATTTTGTTTCAATTTTTCAATGTTTTTTTTCTAAGGCAGCACTCAGACATGAATAATAATAATCCTTGTATTTGATATAGCGCTTTTCACATCTTCTCGACGTCTCAAAGCGCTTCACTCAATAAACTGTAAAGTGAATTGACTGTATATTTGTGGGAGAAACCAAACCAAACCAAACTGAGAATTCCACGCATCCCACCTACACATGGAAATCCCAGAGATAGATTGTTGGAACGGAACGTGCGCTCTCAACATATCCATGTAATATTTAAGCAGTATTATTCATGGCTTGGTGTAGCTTAGCTTATATTGTATCAGATATCACGCGAATTGCAACCACAGTGAAGACATCAAACAATTTGGTTGCTTGCCAATGACTGCGTGATCCAAAAGGTCATAAATATTTTGAAGAACGCTCCAAGAGTAGATTCTATTCAAGTCCTCTCACTTTGAAATTAATCTGTTATGGAGTGTAACTAAAGTTACAATGCCCTGAACAGTGAGGCCACCTGCCAATATCCTAACTCTCAGCATCCAAATCTGGTCTCCTATTTCGTGAGGTGTGTGGTTCATTTTGTGAGCCAGCACAATACACTATTACACATTTGTAAAGCGCCTGTCACGGCGGGAGGACATCCCAGGGCCCTGAACAGTCAGAGTCATTCGGACCCGAGCGCCGAGGGGTGGGGGATTGGGATGAGGGAGGGTGGAGGGGGGAGAGGGTAGCAGAGTTGCCAAAGCACGATTGAAGAGGAGGATCTTAAGGCTTGCCTTGAAGGAGGAGAGGAGGGAGCGAGGCGAAGGGAATGCGGGATGGAGTTCCAAAGGTGGGGGCAGAGAGGCTGGATGCCCGACCGGCTGCTGAACAGAGGGAGCTGACAGGTTGATAAGGGTTAGCAGTCAGAGAGGGAAAGGCCGTGGAGGACCTTGAAGGTGAGGATGAGAATTTTGAACTCAAACCTCTGAGGGATGGGGAGCCAGTGGAGCCGGGCGAGGGTGGCTGTGATAGGATCACGGAGCCTGGTGTGGGAGAAGGGACGAGCTGCAGAGTCTGGATGATCTGAAGCTTGTGGAGGGAAGACTTGGGAAGTACCACAAGCAGGGAGTTGGCATAGTCGAGCCTAGATGCAATGAAGACATGTATGAGGGGTGAGGTTGTGGCGGAGTTGGGCAATGTTGCGGAGGTGGGGGAAGACAGAGCGGATCATGGCATGGATGTGGGGGAGAAAGTTCATTTGAGGGTCGAACTAGATGCCTAGGTTGCTGACTGGCTTGGTGAGGTGGAGTGTGCAACCGTGGATGCTGATGTTGCCTGAGGTGCTGAGGCGCTGGCGCGAGCCAATCAGGAGGGCCTCGGTCTTGACTTTCAACTGTAGAAAGTTGGTTCTCATCCAGGACTTGATATCTGACAGGCAGTCTGTCAGGACATCAGTGGTTCTAGAGTTGAGAATGGAGGAAGAGAGATAGAGTTGGGGTCATCTTCATACATGTGGAAGTTGACCCCATGTCTGCGGATGATGTCACCAAGAGGGAGCATGTACAGGTTGAAGAGAAGAGGATTGAGGACAGAGACCTGAGGAACACCACACGAGGCTGTGCGGCGGCTGGAGGAGAAGCCATTTGTAGAGACAAAGTGGAACCGGTGTGCGAGAACCATTCAAGGACAGAACCTTGAAGGTTAAGGTGAGAGGAGAGGCGGTGGAGGAGGATAGAGTTGTCTATAGTGTCGAAGGCAGCAGAAGTCAAGGAGTATGAAAAGATAGAGATGGGCAGAATGTCACCTTGGACACCTTGACCAGGGCTGTTTCCGTGCTGTGGACTGCACAGAACCCCGATTGGAGGGGTTTGTAAAGAGAGTAGCGGAAGAGGATGGAGCGAAGCTGGGAAGCAATGACTCTTTCAAGGACCTTGGAAAGGAAGAAAGGAAGAAAGGAAGAGGAGGTTAGAAATGTGGCAGTAATTTGTGAGATAAATGAAACAGCACAGAAGGCCAATACTAATATAAATGCAAGTTATTGTTATTGTCGCAATTTGCTTGCTTCAATAAGCTGTTGTTCAATAAGCTCCCATTCCTCTCCCAGCTCCGCTCCTTTCTCTCTTGCCATTCCCTCTTTGAACCCCTCCAATCTCACCCCACCCTGTCTCTGTGACCCCTCCCCTCTCTTCTCCCCTCTGACCCCAGCTTGGGTCTGAAATGTTGTACACTGTCCAGCGTCTTGGGACATCCTCCCGACGTGAAAGGCGCTATACAAATGTAATCTTGTTGTTGTTGTTGTCCTCTAACAAAAAGGAACTGAATAAAATGCAATACAGAAATCCCAGCCTCGTATAAAATGTATTCTTGGTAGCAATTTCATCCAAATGGTGCTTGCTGTCCTGTAATCATTTACAGTTGTTATTTTAAACTCAAATCCCAATGACGATGTTAATTTTGTAATTGGTCAAACTGAAGGGTCGGATTTCAACAGAAGATTCAGGGAGATTTGTAGAATGTGTGTCAAGAGAATAAACTCCTGGAGACATTATGAGCAAATCTATATTGTGTCCGAGCACTGATTCTGATCTCCATGTTTACCAATGGCATAGGGGGAAAAAAAACTTAGAAACATATACGATTGTTAATTATAATAATGAGTGACCAAATTATTATTTTTTCTTGAAGGGGTTATTACTTGTGGAAAGTGATCTTATTCACACTGCTGATATTCCTACTGAAGACAAGGTGCCAAATTCACTATTGTACAGGTATTTACAAATTGAATTAGCAATAGTCTGGGTCAGCTATCACCATCTCTTGGGGCAAAACACCTGCAAATATTATGTGAGAATTTACATGGTTACAATTGCTAATGCACCATACTGTTACACTTGGGTAACAATTGTAAAGGTCTTTAAAATTTTGAATATAATAGTAATCCTTGCATTTGATACAGTGCCTTATCACATCTTCGAGATGTCTCAAAGCGCTTCACAGAATATACTGTAAAGTGAACTGGCTGTATATTTTATATTTTAATGCTAAGTTTTTAAAAGGATCTAAATAGACAGCTGTTAATATCAGAATTGAAGGTTACAAGGACGGCCACAGACGTAGATGATCAAACTCTCTACATTTATTCCAGTGTTGTTGAGACAACAGAGATCTTATCTGTGTCACACAATCAGTCAGGACGGAATGAGGTAGACACCGGTCTGCTGAGATAACTGGGTATTATAGCTGTAGGTGCCAAGTTGAAACGAGCATTTTCCCAGAAAAGATGAAAGTAGTGAGAAAAGTCACAGAGACATAAAATCAGTAGGAGCCAGGCAATCCAGAAATACAGAAATGAGTTTCAAAAAAATTGATTCATCTCCTGACAAGGCATTATTTTCCATTCTATCGCCTTCCCCAGACAGTATTTGTGGTGTCGCAGAGTTATTGAGTTAGTTCAACCCTGAATGGCTAGATTTCTGATCTTATCAACCATATAGATTGAGCGAACGCAATCTGCTTGGGTACTCCTTACAATTGAGATTGTGCCTTATCACGTTGAACATCTCAAAGTGCTTCATAGTTTTGTAACTTGTAGGGACTCTGTAACACCGCTGCCAATTTGCCTTGAGCAATGTCTCAAAAAATGTCATTTAACTGGTGATTTATATCTGGCGGGGGGGGGGGGGGAGTATTAATAATAAATCCTTGTATTTGATATCGTGCCTTATCATGTCTTCGAGCCATTTCAAAGCACTTCACGGAACATACTGTAAAGTAAATTTTGTGGGCGAAACTTATTGACCAGGACACTGGGAGAAACAGCCTTTTCCTTTCTCGGGATCTTTAATGTCCACTTGAACAGGCAAACAGGATCTCTGTTAAACATCTCACGTGATATGTGGTCTTGGTGCACAAGCACCTATAAGTCTTCCCTGCTTCGCAATGTTTTGGTGCCTTATCGTGGGTTGTCTCTCATATTAGTATTGTCAATCCTGGAGGTTTTGTGGTCTGTGGTGGCTGTGGTCACCAAATATGTGCTTTTTCAAACTGTTCAAACAATCTCACCTTTACTTTGTACATATCTTAAAAAATCTTTCAATAAAATACTGAGCTTTGTCACTGACCTGCTGAACAATAAATAAATTGTCCTTACATCTGATATGGCACCTAAAACGTTGAAACATCACAAAGAGCTTCACAGAAAACTGATGTCATAGTGATTGTGTATGGCAAGGTCACACAAACAAATATGAGTAACAAAATTTATCTGGAGGAATGTTGATCGGACACAGAGAAACTCGCTGCTCTTTTCCAAGTGTCATTGGATTATTAATGTACACCTGAAAAGACGACAACAACAACAACAACAACAAGATCCCATTTATAGAGCGCCTTTCACGTCGGGAGGACGTCCCAAGGCGCTGTGATGAGACCTTGGTTGTAACACCTCATCCGAAAGACAGCACTCTTTGACAATACAGCACTCCCCAGTACTATCAGCTTGGACTAGGAACTCAAATCCTGATGTGGGTCTCAAAGCCACACTATTTTGAT